TCCAGACTGCCCCGATCTGCCGACAAACAGCTGATCGGCAGAGCGGGGCAGCCATTTAAATTTAAATGAAGCCGCGATTATTTTAATCGCGGCTTCATTTCCCTCTGCCGATCTGGCTAATCTACATGCCTCCGTCGACAGAGGCATGTAGTCTAGACACACCCTAGGAGACTATGGGTCTGTCTCCCAGAGCCTCTTGGAGAGAAAGTGATACATTGGTTCTGTGGACCTCTGAAGGGACTGTTTGGGGAGGAGAGTGATTTTTATAAACAGTGTTTGCCCCCCAAAAAAGCGGGAATATCTTTGCACAGTGCCAGTGGGGGAAACTGAGGCAGGCTGCCTGGCACGTGACCCTCAGCCACGGGGGGGGGCACGCATCGGTGGTGACCGGCCCACTCCCGTGCCACCTGCTGTATTCAGCGCCACCGCCCCCCCACCCGCCTACGAAACGAACATGATTCCGATGGTGAGACGAGAGACACGCTCATCAAGAAATGCTGCTTTGCGGTCTGGCCGTTGCCGTTTTCCCCAAGGGGGGCGGAAGCTGAGGACAGGCTGGGGTCCAGGGGAGGGGTGGACGGGAGAATGGAGCAAATCCGAGTCCTTGGTGTGCGTGATGAGGACAGGGTGTGGCCAAGAGGCAGGAGGCCTTGATAGATCTTTTCCTGGAGGAAGCCAGCAAGCTGGTGTCCGGAGAGGGTGGGACCGGACCGGGCGGGGCACGCGGTCGCAAATCAGCCATGGGAGGCAGCTGCCGGCAATGCACCAGGCTTATAGAATGAGGAGAGACCCAGGAGTCAGCCTCCTGCTGGCTATTCCCCTTTACTCAGCACTGGGGAGGCCATATCTGGAGTGTTACGTCCAGTTCTGGGCCCCCCATGACAGAAAGGTCGTGGCTGCGGTGGAGAGAGTCCAGCGGACGGTAACAGAAATGTTTAGGAAGCTGGAGGGAGCACACGACCTGCGAGGAGAGGCTGAGGGATTTGGGTTTGTTTAGTCTGCAGAAGGGAAGAGCGAGGGGGGATTTGAGAGCAGCCTGCAACTCCCTGCAGGGGGGGTCAGAAGAGAGGCTGGAGAGAGGCTGTTCTCAGTGGGGGCAGGTGGCAGAACAAGGAGCAATGGGCTCAAGTTGCAGTGGGGAAGGTCTAGGTTGGAGATTAGGAAAAACTATTTCCCTAGGCAGGTGGGGAAGCGCTGGGCTGGGTTCCCTAGGGAGGGGGTGGAATCTCCATCCCTAGAGGTGTCCAAGTCCCAGCTTGACCAAGCCCTGGCTGAGTTGATTGAGTTGGGTTGGTCCTGCTTTGGGCAGGGGGCTGGACTCGACTCCTGAGGGCTCTTCCCGCCCTGGGATTCTCGGATTCACTCGCAGTGGGTGAGGGCTCCATGGTGCCACCTTACCAAGAGATGCCGGGTGACAGGCCAGCGAGAGGGTGGTTTGCTGGGGTGCCCCTGGGGCGACTTGGGGAGGGAGGAGCCCGTGGGGCGGAGGGGCAGGAGGCAGCAGAGAAGCTGTGGATGCTGCTGAGCTGGACGGTGGGTGCATCATTCAGCGGCAAGTGCCTCTTGGGCAGGTTGGATTCGCGCCCCGGGGCCCTTTCTACGAGGCTCCCAAGGCCCCTGCGCATGCAGAGCCTGCTGGCTCTGGGGTGGCCGGCGGGCCGTGCGCACCAGGCCGTCCCTGTGTGCGGCAGGAAACGGGCCACCGTGGTAGTGCGGCGCCGGGCCGCCCTGTGCCCGCCAGCGTAGTCCTCCACC